GTCGGCTGAATTATCCAAGACAAGTATGAGTCCACCACAACCCAGTAAGTGGGGGGAAAGCCCTCCCTGTCTTCTGAGCACATGTCCTCCTGAATAAGCATCTCCGTGTGCAGGTGCTGCTCTTACGTGGGCAGGAGGGGCGGCGGTCCCCAGGCCATCTCGATAGGAAAGAACTGTGACAAGTTTGGGATCGTCGTGCACGAGCTGGGTCACGTGGTCGGCTTCTGGCACGAGCACACACGTCCCGACCGCGACGAGCAAGTCAGCATTAGCAGAGACAACATCCAACCAGGTACATCTCTGACTGTCTAACCGTTTATTTGCTCGCACGTTTGATAAAAGACAGATTTCGGTCTGACAGGTTCCTCGTTGATTTCTCCCATTTGTCCCAGGACAAGAGTACAACTTCCTGAAGATGGAGCCAGGGGAGGTGGACTCTCTGGGGGAGGTGTATGACTTTCACAGCATCATGCATTATGCACGGAACACCTTCTCCAGGTCGATACAAAGTGATTATTCCCGGGTTCTGTTGGCTAGGTTACCCACAGGTAACACAGTTGTCATCCGGGTCAAACATTTGTCACCTCTACATTACACTTATTTCGACTGTCAGATTGGTGTTTTTAGTATTAGTATGTTAGTTAGAATAACAACATCACTACAAGGAACTGGTCATTTTTCAGCAAGGCATTCTGGGTAACACATACAGCCGTGACAGTTAAGCCTCACCGACCCACCATACTACACCCGGTTAACCAAAACTCAACTACCCCCATCCATGCCCACACATTTGCTACTTACACACACATGCAGAAGTGCCAGGAGCATTTCTATGAGCTAGGCCCACATTTCTGGGGGCTAGGCCCAAATCCTGGTGCATCTCATAATGAAGATTTTGTCACTATAACAACGAGGAACAAATTCAACTAAATGTAAGTAACAATATTTGAACTCAATTAAACACAATATAAACACAGTACGAGTGGGTGATTAACGTGCACTTGACACATCAGATATTGCCTGTGCTCAATTAGATCGTTCACGGGTTTCTCTTGGTCCTGGTCTCAAAAGTCATACTAAAAAGGTCACATTTCTTAGTTTATTAGCTTTTTATCAAGATAAGCAAAGAAAATATTTAATGGGAACCATATTCCAACTCAAAAAATCTCTTTCCTTCGCTTTTCTGTTGCTTCAAATCTGCTAGTGATGTCACACTACTGTCTACATGACCACTAGCCCTTTCTAAAAAAAAGCCACTGGTATTATGTGAATCTGCTGGCCAATTCTTTGTCCGCTGAAAGCCTAATTTACGTTGGCTGCTTCAGAATTCCAGCTTGCTAATGTAGTCAGAGGCTTTCTGAGCATTACTGCTTTAAAGTCTCGGCAACTGACCATCCCACTGGTTGACATACTGTGTACACACTATAGAAATAGTCATTGCCAGATGGCCAATCCACCTGTGAATTCCAATCCACCTAACCCTCTGCTGCAAAGAACTATGGGAAGTCGAAGCTCTTGGGTCTTTATAGTGACGTCAAATATTTCACAGAAGACAGATGCCCATTCATCTGTCTTGAGCATGTTGTTAGCATGTTGCGTTTCCAGCGTCTTACATTTTCACCTCCACCAACACTTTACAGACCCGAGTAGTGGAGGCGGGCCAGGATAAATATTGAGCTGTCGGTCGGATCTTTGTGTATGACAAACTGGGTTGGAGTGGCCTTGTTCTGTGGCATTCAGGGCCGGGCTTCACAGAGCCTGTTGGCAGAGACTAAAGCCCTTGTTCAGTCCACTCTGTTTGCACACGGCTGCCATTCAACGGTGTATCGCCATGGAAACCGGGTGACCGTTAGTCCCACCAACTGGCTACTGGGGGACAGAAAAAAGAGGTCAATAAAGTAGCCAAATGTCAAACAGGAACTCCCTGTGAAAATATCTTATCCATGATGAGTGCTTTTTGGAGACCAGGGTGGATGTCATCTACCTGTTAATCCTTTATGTATTTCTCACAGGGCACTATCTTACAGTGGTCTTTTCAATATCACATTGAAACAAATGTGTCATTCTGCAAACACCCCACACCCAGAGTGACCTAAAGGGGCTGCGCACATTTCATGATAGATGTGGGGCACAACTCGGTAGTAGGACGCACAACCTATAAAGTAGGTTTGTGCTAGTGAGAACAGAAAAACAAGTTATAGAAACTGTGCCCATATATTCTCAAGAGACGATCGTGGGAACATTCTGCAGTCTTTTTGATCCCCTTGAACGCAGAATTTTCCGGGATATCTCAATTTGGGTGTAGAAGACTCAATGATCAATATCGTGTTTGTCTATGTGTTCCATTTTGACTAGAATACAATGTTCCGGATGTTTCCAGGTATCAGTCTATCTAACGGTTCCTGCGTTTCTTTGTTCGTGTCAAATCTGCAGGGGTGTCTTTCTGGACACCATTCTGCCCCGCTATGACGTGAATGGAATCAGGCCTCCCATTGGCCAGAGGACGAGGCTAAGCAAAGGCGATATCGCCCAGGCTCGCAAACTCTACAAATGTGGAAGTAAGACCCAACAAACATCATGACTCAGGCTTTTCTGAAACGTCAGAGAGAAAAATGTCAGATTCTTCGTCCTCCGCCAATTCAGAAGACGATGGCTGTGATTATCGTGATTATATTTCTGAAGGCGTGACAATGCCCTGACGGCAAATCTGGGGCATCATGATTGGACTCGCATTGATTTTGTCCAAATGCAATTCATGGTTCTCCGTTTTCAGGCATTGGAATACAGTGTGTTATTGAACTCTGGTCTTGTGTGGTCGAGCCCCAGGAAAAGACCAAAGTTGGCTCAATCGATAAACCAGTTATGAGTCGTTGGTATTGTGCCGTCTTTGTTGGTCTGCGGTACTGTCGAAACGTCCTATATGGATCGGTTTGTTTGTAACCAAGCACTGTTTTTGTTTTGCACACTTTTTTAGCATGTTTTCTCTTGTGGGCAGGGTGTGGTGACAGCCTACAGGACAGCAGTGGAAACTTCTCTTCTCCTGGCTATCCCAACGGATATGCAGCCTACGTCCACTGTATCTGGAGGATTTCTGTCACACCTGGAGAGAAGGTCAGTTGGAAACATCCTGGGCTAGCCATCAACCTCACTCTACAGCTGACGAGCGTTAAAGCTCTTAGCTTCGAGCAAAGGGCCTTTGTTACAGTCAGAGGGCCGGATATGTGATAACATATTAACCGAGTCCTAGACTAAAAAAATCTAGAAAATCTCTGGACATCGGTTATCTGGATGTCTCTTCTCTCTCCCTTTCTGAAAGCATGTATGTCTGTCTGTCTGTCTGTAGATTATTTTGAACTTTACCTCCATGGATCTCTACAGGAGTCACTTGTGCTGGTACGACCATGTGGAGGTCCGAGATGGGTTCTGGAGAAAAGCCCCTCTGAAAGGTTTTTACATGACGGAACATTTCGAGTGGATCCCATAAGAGGCCTGCCATTAATTTCTGCTAATAACCCATTTAGTGCCCATGTCACACTTCAGGCAAAAGTTTAGAGACCTAAACAATTTGTGTAAATGGATACAATTTTATTGAAATGTATATTATGTTCAGAATAATAACATGGTGTATTGCAGTATGGGTAACTGAGAGGATCTAGCAGTCTCAGCGTTTTTTTTTGTATTGATATTTGTTTATCTTCTATATGAGGTCGCTACTGTGGTGACAGTCTGCCTGGCCCCATCGTTTCCACGGACAGTCGGCTATGGATTGAGTTCAGGAGCAGCAGCAACTGGGTGGGCAAGGGCTTCTCAGCCATGTATGAAGGTAACACCAGCTAGCTTCTCCAGAGAACATGTCTGAAGGTAGCGTCAGCTAGCTTCACCAGAGAACATGTCTGAAGGTAACACCAGCTAGCTTCTCCAGAGAACATGTCTGTAGGTAGCGTCAGCTAGCTTCACCGTAGAACTTGTCTGAAGGTAGCGTCAGCTAGCTTCACCGTAGAACTTGTCTGAATGTAGCGTCAGCTAGCTTCACCAGAGAACATGTCTGTAGGTAGCGTCAGCTAGCTTCACCAGAGAACATGTCTGAAGGTAACACCAGCTAGCTTCTCCAGAGAACATGTCTGAAGGTAGCGTCAGCTAGCTTCACCGTAGAACTTGTCTGAATGTAGCGTCAGCTAGCTTCACCAGAGAACACGCCTAAAGTTAGGACAAGCCGCACTTGTCGTAACATTGTAGTTGCATAAGCTCTATTCACAAAACGTATTCTATGCCTCAATACTTATTTGATGTCAAAAGCAAGATAAAAGTGGGACGTTTATATTGTTGCTGGAAGAATTCATGGAAGGTGTGCCTCGCCCTCTCACCAGCCATCTGTGGGGGAGATGTAAACAGGGACAATGGCCAGATCCAGTCTCCCAACTACCCGGACGACTACAGACCCAACAAAGTGTGCGTCTGGAAGATCACAGTGGCCCAGGACTTCCACGTGGGCCTCTCCTTCCAGTCGTTTGAGGTGAAGGGAAGTAGAATAATTTAACCTTCAGTCTGGCACATCATCTTGCTGCCAATCACTCAAAGTCCAGACACTGGGAGGCGATAGCATTGTGTCAACATTCTCCAATGTCCCTGGCCACCTGTCCGTTTCCGTAGATTGAAAGGCACGACACCTGTTCCTACGACTACCTTGAGGTGAGAGACGGGAACTCGGAGAGCAGTCCTCTAATGGGACGCTTCTGCGGCTACGACAAACCGGACGAAATTAAGACCAGCTCCAACAAGCTCTGGATAAAGTTCGTGTCTGATGGGTCTGTGAACAAGGCCGGGTTCGCTGCAAACTTTTTCAACGGTCAGTGGTCAATAAGAGAACGTCAATTGTGTGAACGACACCTGCCTGGGTGTTTTTTTGTACACAGATCTTTTACAACATGTTAAATAAGCGTTGTCATGGTGAAGCTAGGGGAATCGTCCTTAGTATTGGTTTTCTTACACAAACACAGGAGGAGTTGGTAGCTCAGCGGTAGAGTGCATGCTTTGTATTTATGATGTCCTGGGTTCAACCCCCAGGTTGTCTTATCAAATGAGAAATGTTCTCAAGCGGCCTGTCTGGTTAAATTGAAATGATATAACAATTTAAAAAGTCAGTGTAACAACCGATGTTTCAAAGTTTCAACGATGGAGGGGTTTTCACTTTATTATTTTATGTTAGTTTATGTATGTTCTGAGTTGGAGACGACTACCTAGTGCTGGTGATACCAGAGAGAGAAATAAGGCCGTTTATCCACACACAAAAAGCCTTCGTGGCTGACAGCCTTCCGGATTCAAATCATCAGGTTTATAATGTGGATTATAAACGGATGGTTCAAATCTGCCTGATGGTACCACCAGCAGCGCTGTGACACCTACCCTAAACCACGGCCAGGACCGCATTACTATTCGCTGTTCCATTGCTATGCTGTTATATGGCATCTCAAGGATTGTTGATATCAAGCCAATATTCCATGCTGTATCCAAGCAATTTGTGATGTGCTGTGACTAAAACAGCTCCCAGCTGTGGTTTATTGACCAGACTCTAACTTCCCCATGGCTTATTGCTTAATTATGATGCCGTGCGCTTTTCACGGTAAAGGGATTTTCACATTTGTTTTATTCTCGCACCTTTTGTAGGTCGCACGGGTGGCGTGCGGGGTCAGAAAAACAAAGTAATTGTGCACATAGGTTTCTGACAGAGATAACAAACTTATTTCGTGATTTGGATGAACTCTCAACATGTAACGTATTGATTTAAACGCTCAAAGTGGCAAGTTCCTGACCAGAATCGGCTACACGGATGAGTCCTATAATTAAGAACACACGCATGTGACAACCAATTTTGCATTTTCAAATGTATTCTTTTATTCAGATGTTCGGCATGGCTGACTTGGAATTAAATTAAACAGGTGCACGTTTTGCTCACAATATCCATGAATTTAAATCAAATCAGGGTATTTCGGAAGGTCATAAAGGTTTTAATGGATTTACTTTGACCACTTGCACTGCCTTTTTCTGAGGCACTAATAGTAGAGTGTCCTTCAACTTCTATGGCTAAGAAGTGGGTCTGATGGTTTCTAAAAAAAGGTTTCGAATTTTTTCCTTTATTCGATATCTTGTCAGCCTGAGTTAAAAGGATGGCGTATAATGACTAACTTTAAAATACAACGGAAAGTAAGTAAAATGTATCGTTTCCAGGAATCGGACTAATCAGTTTGAATGATTTCTCTGATAATTGTCTGGTGGCTTGAGCACTATAACATCCGTGCATATGTGCCTTGTGAAGTGTGCTCTTTTTTCCGTTGAGGTGCATATCACCGCGGCAACACTGCTCGGACACGCTTGAATACATTTTGCATCCGACTACGTTAATTTCTGTGGACGGACAATGCGGCGAAGCCACGTGAATGTACTGTACTTCTAATGTGCACAGTAGAACTGATATGTTCCCCACCCCCCCGGTTCTTTTCTTCTCCGTAATGGCTTTACTTTGGCGTCTTTGGGTGGTAGAGATGGACGAGTGCTCCAATCTTGATAATGGCCGCTGTGAACAGCATTGTGTGAACACCCTGGGCAGCTACCGATGTGCATGTGACCCTGGCTTTGAGCTGGCTTCAGACAGACGCAGCTGTGAGGGTGAGTGCAGGGCCTGCTTACCTGAAAACATGATCAGTCTTCACCGTGATGGTCTCACCTGAAAACATGATCAGTCTTCACCGTGATGGTCTCACCTGAAAACATGATCAGTCTTCACCGTGATGGTCTCACCTGGAAACATGATCAGTCTTCACCGTGATGGTCTCACCTGGAAACATGATCAGTCTTCATACCACTTTATACACAGTCGGACCTGTTTATACACAGTCGGACCTGTTTATACACAGTCGGACCTGTTTATACACAGTCGGACCTGTTTATACACAGTCGGACCTGTTTATACACAGTCGGACCTGTTTATACACAGTCGGACCTGTTTATACACAGTCGTATCCTGTTTATACACAGTCGTACCTGTTTATACACAGTCATAGAGTGAGTGCCACAGTCTAGCATCTGAGCTACAGGTGATGACCAGGTATGCATTTTGTGGCTTCCTGGTTACAGATCAGGTACTTATTTCTGCCCTGTACCCCCCTCAGCAGCTGCGTGCGGCGGCTTTATTACCAATCTGAACGGCTCCTTCACCACCCCCGGCTGGCCCAAAGAGTACCCACCGAACAAGAACTGTGTCTGGCAGCTCGTGGCCCCGACGCAGTACCGCATCACCCTACTGTTTGATGTCTTTGAGACGGAGGGCAACGATGTAAGCAGCGCTCTACGGTGTGTGTGTGTGTGTGTGTGTGTGTGTGTGTGTGTGTGTGTGTGTGTGTGTGTGTGTGTGTGTGTGTGTGTGTGTGTGTGTGTGTGTGTGTGTGTGTGTGTGTGTGTGTGTGTGTGTGTGTGTGTGTGTTCTCCCTGGTACTTGCTCCAGTTCCTCTTGAACAGACTCTGACATGTCTGTGGTGTCGTCTGTTTTAGGTTTGTAAATATGACTATGTGGAGGTGAGGAGTGGTCTGACAGCCGACTCCCGGGTCCATGGAAAGTTCTGTGGAGCAGAGAAACCAGAGACCATCACCTCCCAGAACAACAACATGCGCGTCGAGTTCAAATCAGACAGCACGGTATCCAAAAAGGGCTTCAAAGCACAATTCTTCTCTGGTATGTCCAAAAAACACTTTTTTTTATTCGAACAAACTGTGAATCTAACCGACGTATGCCACAAATGGCCGTGTGACAATGCCTGACATTTTTTGTTCCCATGGAGACAAGGACGAGTGCTCTAAGGAGAATGGCGGTTGCCAGCACGAGTGTGTCAACACTTTCGGGAGCTACGGCTGTCAGTGTCGCAGTGGTTTTGTTCTCCATGATAATAAGCACGACTGCAAGGAAGGTACGGGTCAAATATCTCCGGTGAACGTCTACTCACCCATTGCACAGCCTCTAAATAACCCATTTAACTCTATAACCTACACTATTGTTTCCAAACAAAATAAAATGATGCTACAGAAAACGTTTTTTATACGCTCTTTGCACTACTCTGCAACTTTGGCAGCCAGTGGCGCAGCGAATCATTCAGAGAAGTGCTTCTCAAAAAAAAAATCCTCCAAAGTCCCCAATTTTATGAACCCTATATTTCAGAGATAAAGCCTTCCCAATTTTATTTTGTTATTATTAACATAATAAATAGGATACAGTTTGTTGCCAGTGCCATCAGCCTAAATTGCTTGATTATATATTTAAAAAAATAATTGGCTTTCTTAAAGAAAAATCTAAAATGAAATAAATTGTACAGACTGTCAGGCTGTAATTTCAAAACCTGTTTTGTTCACTGTCTGAGGACTGCAATTTGTTTCTGGAAATTATCTGGTCATGATGAAGAGATCTATTAACTCACATGCCATTCCCAAGAGAGAATGAAATTGCTATTTAGATTGTTTATTTAGCAAAAAAATGTATCCTGATTTTTCTTTGATTCCACTGGCAGTTCTCTGGGGCATCCATGGGGTCCTAAACAACACGTTGAGAACCACTAATATTAATATTTTAAAATGTTTGTAACAATTTTGCAAATCTCCATTATTTTTATAAGATTCTGAGTTTTTGAAAGCTGCTGCACATTCTTTAATATACACAATATTGTCATCACTTTAATATATTTAAAAATCTCAAAACAATTTTAGCGAGCTTCAGGAATGAAACATGAAATAATTGGTTGGTAATTTGTTTACATCCAAAGGAAAATATGTCTATATTTGAAATGAATATGATATATGAAGCCACTGTCTCCTTTCTAGCCGGCTGCGACCATGTGGTGACCAGTGTGTCAGGCATCATCACCAGCCCCAACTGGCCTGCCAAATACCCCAGCAAGAAGGCCTGTACCTGGGCTCTCTCCACCACCCCGGGACACCGCATCAAAATGGCACGTAGACTTTCAGTGGCGGGTTGACATTGAATATCTCCTGTCGTGTGGTGTTGATATCGTGCGATGTTACAGTCATTGGTGGGTGGCGGAGGTTTGTACTCCACCGACGCCACCGCCCAACTGCTCTGTGTACGTTCACGCTGTTCAGGCCTTCAATGAGATCCACGTGGAGTCCCATTTGGAGTGCGCCTACGACCACCTGGAGGTGTACGACGGCGGGGACGTCCGAGCCCCTAGTCTGGGACGCTTCTGCGGCACCAAGAAACCGGCGCCTGTCATCTCTAGCGCCAACGAGATGTTCCTGCGCTTCTTCTCCGACAACTCCGTCCAGAAGAGAGGTTTTGAGGGCACACACAGTGCGGGTGAGGAGAAATACAGCATTAGCGTTCTGTGCAACTAGAGAGAAAGGGACCGGTGTATATTGCTTTAATTTGTCTTCAGGGAGACGTGCAATCATATTGTTTTGATTTCAAAATACGCTGAGAAACAAGCGCCATGTCAACTAGTGTTAATTGCATTATGCATTTTTTATAGGGCATTAATTTCGTTCTGCCCAATCTACTGCCATAGCCATTTGAAATATTGATAAGAATAAATAACCCATCTCTCTCAGTATGTGGTTTTCTTTGATCTTCCCGGTGCCTTTGAGCGAGTCGGGCCTCTTCTGTCTCTCAGATCAATGAGAAGGGGTTGTTCTCCCAAAAACAACACCAATTACTGAGCCATTGAAAAAGATGTAGCATGTGTTTTGATCCCAGGACCATTGTGAACCTTCCGTGTGTGAATGGCCGGCCCCCTGTGCCAAATACCAAATGAAACTTTAATAAGGGCCTGTTGGGTTAACATCTTTAGTTTGTTTCATATTATTTATAACACACCGTAATTATGTTCCCGAATACATAAACAACATTTGTCGTTTTGCCATGAGACCTATAATTAGATGAATAATGTCAAGGATTTATTTATATTTATCCTAATGCAGTAAATTGTTCGTATTTGAGGTTACATAAGCCAATGTTGCGTTTTGTGTTTTTTTTCCTACTGTGCAAAAGTTCTAAGCCGCTCTGAGCATTTTAAATA